GATTGAGTCTTCTTGTTACTCAGAGGAAAGGGAAGACGATGGTTGGGACAGTTTTATTGTGTGGCCTGTTTGGCATCTCTGTGATCAACGGGTTTCTTGCAGCTCTGACAGCGTACCTGGTCCTTCCCCCACTTTTATGTCCAGGCCCCTGATTTAGTCCTTCCTTGCGTGATCTGTCCTGACAAGTAGGAGCTCAGCTGAGCCACATCTCTGCACAGAGAGAGTGGCGCAGCCTTCAGTGTTGCCTGGAGTGAAGCACACAGACTGCTAGAGGGGGTTTCTTGTTCACCCTGGGCCACATACCAACCGGACTCTTAACTCTTGCCCTCACAGGTGCTGGGGGTTATGATAGGAGTCGGGCTCTCTGTGCTGCTTGTCGCTGCCTTGGTCCTGATCCTGATCCGCCGGTTTCGCCTTCGGAGTAAGTTCGCTTCTGGCTCTTAGAAGCTTAGTGAATCCATGAGGCAAGATTTTTGTCTGATGGGAACATGACTTCCTGCTTTCCTGATCTTGTCATCAACAACATTTTATCTTCCCTGCAGAAGTTCAAACCCAGGAGCAGCCAAAGTATCGATTCCGCAAGCGAGACAAAGTGTTGTTTTATGGCCGGAAAATTATGCGCAAGGTAATGTGAAGAAGGGAAGAGCGCAGAGAATGGGCATGGGATGAATTGCTGGACTGAGGAAAGTGCAACGTGGCATTTCAGTGGGTGGGTTCTGGTTTGAAGCGGGCTGATTTGCGCAGCATGACTTACTTGCCTGACTTTTGCTTATTTATAGAAATATCCTGGACAGTGGCAGGGGATGTCCAGATTCTGGTTTTGGCTGAATCAGGATCTACGTCTGCCCACCTCCTGTTATTATTTGCCATATGGCTTCTGAATTGCCTAGCAAAGGAAAGAAAGGCTGCCTGTTTCTCTGTAGAGCATTGCTTTTCGGAGGTGATCCTACAACCTTTAAGGGTGGGAATCTCAGTGTGACTGAGATTGATTGTGAGGGTCATTTTGCAGGTTTGTCAGCAGCCTAAGTCCACATTCTCAAGTAAGAGGGGAGGGCATGGCCCAGAAGGTTAATCTCTCTCAATTCCCCCCCCTCCTATCTCTCTCTCTCTCAATCTCTCTCTCTTTCTCCTCCTCCTCCTTTCTTAACAGTCACTCCAGTGAATCTTTGCTAACTGAAAAGTTGGTTTAACGAAGAAAGAAAGAGTTAACCAAAAAAGCCCCCTTGTACATGATGTGTCCTGAATTTTCCAAATTCTCTAAAAAATTTGGTGGATATTAGGTGTCCTGGGGGGACTGTCAAAACATGATCGTTTTTCTCCACTTCTTGGAGAGTGTAACTGGGCTTTTTGAATAGAAGAATCCTCCTATCCTAAACATTTTAAAAAACATTTTTAAAAAACATCATCCCCATTTCCACAGAGTGGAATGGGGATGATGAGAGGCTATCAAAATGTCCTGCATGTGGTTCAGTTGTTGCTCACCTTGGCTTTAAGGTGACTTGATCATGGTGAAGGATCACAGGAGAAAAATAGTCTCCTCAAGCAAGTTTTAAGATGGGGTTATTTCATATTCTCTTTTAATTATCTCAATTTTCTTTGTAGGTTTCTCAGTCCACCTCCTCCCTTGTAGATACCACCATCTCTGCTTCTCGGCCGCGCATGAAGAAAAAGCTCAAAATGTTAAATATTGCAAAAAAGTAAGCAGATAAGCATCCGGAAGGGAGCCTGAGCAATTTCCTTGGAATTTGGGGGACCTGAGTGATGGAGAAGTGGACACAGATTCTGTGAAGAGGGCTAAGCTGCACTAAAGGAAGGACCCTTGGAAAAGGGCCATGCTCACCTTGGCAACTCCCAGGGAAAATTCCAGCATTTCTGCACTTAAACCCACCCCAATGCTTGCCTGACAGATACCAAAAAAAGGGGATCTGGCAGTTTCCCATGTAAAGTGACATGTACATTTGGGAAAGTTCTGTAAATAATTGCCTAACTACTGATTTTTTAGAACCATATTTTACTATCAGAAGGTAGTATGAATAATTATTTACCTCTCTTGTTTTTATGAAACATTTGAAAGCTATAGATATGTTTCTTTCCCCTCTCCATACTTAAAAAAGCACATGCCAGGATCCTGTTGCTGAAATATGGAGTGGACGGGTCTTCTCCCATTCCAGCAGGTTCCCTGTCATCTGACTAGTCTTGCAACCAGTGTGAGAACAGGCAACAGGGAGCCTGCCAGGGCAGAGGAGCACTTCTGAGATCTCTTCTCTACATTTAAATAAGATGAGGCTTATTTAAATGTGTATTCCCAGGTGGTTTTCTGGCCCCTATTGTAGAGAACACTGATGCTGACTTGGGATTCAGGTGAACATTCAAACAGCTGTGTAATCTCTGGCCTGTGATTCTAATTCAACCCATAAATGTTTCAAATCTAAGCCCATATTGGGCCTGAAGGTGGCCCTGCCACCTGCCCAAAGCCTCACCCCTCAGTTGGTGAAGCAGTGGGTGGACAGTTCGAATCATGCTGTTATATCAAGTCTATAAGCTGTTCATCTCTGTCCCACTCACTGCTTCAATTGGAAAGGTGCATGGGGCAAAAGTATGAGCAAGGGAGTGATGGGAAGAAGTGCAAAACAAATGCAGCTGGATCATGGTGTTATGAAAGAGTCAAGCTAGACTATGTGATGAGCATGTAATTAGAAACCGTGTTCCCTCAAGTGTTAAAACTCATCTGTTTGTCATAGGGATGTGATTTTTCTCACCATTATATGTTGCATTTAGCCAGGATTTGTTTTGTAATTGATCACTGGAAGGTGAACCAAAACTTCCTTTGCAGATGTGATTGCTGAAACATGCTTGTCTGAGAAAATGCTTGTTACTTGAAGGAAAATGTGTTATTTACAGGGAATATTCATTTCCTTTACCATCTGCTTTAAGAATAGATATGCTCGATTGCAAGCCCCTGCTTTTCCCATATGAGCAAGTTGACAATGAAGTGACACCAGATTCTCAGCTGAAATGGTGTCTGGAAAAGCTCCACTGGGGACTTTATCCAGGGAGCCAGTGATGCCAGACAACATGTTCGTGTTTCATGAGAATAGTATGAAAGCTTTTAAAACATTAGCAAAGTAGGAGAAGGGACCTATTCTGGGTACATTTTAAGAAACTTAACGCAGAGGGAGGGTTGGTCTATTGGCTTGTCACTCTGTTGGGAGCAGGAGGGAGAGATGGCTTAAGCTTCCTCTTGAGTATGGGGATTTCTCTTTCCTTACAAGAGAAGGCTGACCCCCCTGCTAGATTAGCTGTCTTCAAACATGTCTCTGCCATTTCCCCCTGCGTACAGGATCCTGCGTATCAAGAAGGAGTTGCCAACTCTTCAACTGAAGGAACCACCCCCTTCTGTCCTGGAGGCTGATCTCACAGAATTTGATGTGGCCAACTCTCATCTCCCCTCAGAGGTGCTTTACATGCTAAAGAATGTGCGGTGAGTAGATGAGACTCAGTTCCGAATGTGGATGGAAGTTGATGAAAGCTGCAGGAAGTATTGAAAAAAAAATGAATTCAGTGGAACTTTCTTCTGAGTAGACATATATATTTTTAAAATTGCATTTTGAAAGTGAGGGGACATTTTATTCCCTTTTAATCACCTAGAGTAGAACACAAGGGTCGCTGAAAGTATATTGGTATACAGTGGTGCCTCGCATTACGATGTTAATTCGTTCCAGCAAAATCGCTGTAGAACGAAAAATCATAAAGCGAAATTTTAAAGCCCATAGAAACGCATTAAAACCCGATTAATGCGTTCCTATGGGCTTGAAACTCACCGTCCAGCGAAGATCCTCCATAGCGCGGCCATTTTCGTTGCCCGTGCAGCGAGGAATCCACCCCAGAAAAGAGCGGGGAGCTTTTTTTTTTTTATCCCGGCAGCCATTTTGAAACCGTCGATCAGCTGGCCGAAAATCATTGTTTTGCGAGAATCGGTTTCTGAAGCAGGGAACCGATCATCGCAAAGCGAAATTCCCCCATAGCAAACATTGTTTTGCGATCTCAAAAACTTTGTCGTAATGCGATTTCATCGTTAAACAGGATGCTTGTCTTGCGAGGCACCACTGTATTGGTATATATTGTAGTCTCCAGTAGTGTTTCTGGAGAAAATGGATCAACATTTCTGAACTCCCCACCCTCGTTATACGAGGCACCACTGTATATTGTAGTCTCCAACAGTGTTTCTGGAGAAAATGGATCAACATTTCTGAACTCCCCACCCCAACAGACTAAAGATCAAGATCAGGAGGAATAACCATAAAAGCAGATTGTCTTCACAGAGAAATGGCAAGAAACTATAGAATGGGAAGGGATGGGCGGCGCATGACATGAGTTCAGAGGGGGATCCACAAACAGCTTGGACATAACTCCTGGGGATTTCATTTTCCCAGCTTAAGCTTCATCTGTGAACACCCAGCCATGATTCATTGAAATAGTCTGGGTCATTTGTCTCAGACCAGAAATAGACTTTAGAGGTAGCCCCTGTCTAGAAAAGGGGAATCCTTAACTAACAAAAGCATTTACCGTATTTTTCGCACCATAAGACGCACTTTTTCCCCACAAAACAGGGGGGTGGAAAGTCTGTGCATCTTATGGAGCGAAGAAAACAGATTATATTTTCCTGTTTTCTTCTCCTAAAAAATTGGTGCATCTTATGGAAAGGTGCGTCTTATGGAGCAAAAAATACGGTAAATGTCACGACATGAACATACCTTCCCTCTGGCAAGATCCAAATTAGCTTGCTTTGCGTGTTTGGTGAGATTAAGATCAAGTCTTCAGGATTTAAGAATGTGTTTCTTTGAAGTCTAGTTGCACAAGCCCATTAATATCAAAGGAAGGTGGTGTGTCTGATTTTGCAGGATGATTTCAGGATGGGTTTCAGTATGAACTTTACAGAAATTCTCCAAAGTGGGGATAATGCAAGTGGGGATCTGTTTAAATTCCAACTTAAACTTTAAAAATAAAAGTTACGTTCCAACTTGTTTCTAATAGTGAATCCATAGTTTAAGTTTAAATAAAATTTAACACAAGTTAGCTTCCTGTTACTTCCCCCCACACACACACAGTCTGAAGGAAAATCTCAGCTGACTCATTCAGTTTATTTCTCTTACTGTTGAAATCTGCTTTTGATTGCTGGTTCCTGCGGAACATCCATGGGGACGCTCTTGTTGCTTTTATGTTTGTGAGCCTCCCATAGCATCTTGTTGGCTGGTGCAAGATACAGGGTGTCGGACTAGAGGGGCCTTTATTCTGATCTAACAAGACTCGTATTACAGTTTTAGGTTCACTGAGCTGAGTGCCAGTGCTCCTAATTGTCTAAAGTGAGATCTGCCTTGGAATGGGAGAACACAATTAAGATATAACAGATTTGGTTATGGATCTGATCGCAGATTCCCTGGAATACTCCACACCACCTTACAGTTTCCTTTTATACAGAAGCTAACATGGAATTTAGGATGACATCTGTTCCAGAGAGCAAACTGCGCTCTTGCAGTTTCCTTTTCCATCTCTCTTTTACATTCTGCATCATGGTGTTCTTACGACTGGGCTTTTGAGGTCTATATAGGAGCACAGGGAAAATGCCTTCAGTGTATAGGTGCATCCCCTTCACTATTGTGTATGGCCTCTTCCCTGGCTGAAATTTGACACAGGCTGACCTGGACATGCCCGAGAGTGAACCAAGCTGGTACTTGGGTACTTGTTGCTTCCAATCATGAGTGCTGTCATACATTGAGCAATGGTTCCCATTGAGCTTGAATTTCCCAGAGCAACATTTTATGAAAGGATTTGATGAAACAGCCTACCAAGCACGCACAGCTGCAATTAGACAAAGCAAGTGCCAGGCACAACACAGAGATTCATTATGTGATGCTATTCCATTCTTCCTCCCTCCTGATTTGCCATTGCTTCACTCTGGATGGTTAGCATTCTGTGGACGCCCAGCATGCTTATTTTCACCTGTCTCCCATTTTTTGTGTTTGTGCAAACTTTAGGGGTTTTCTTATCTTGATGATTGTTTTTGTTATGCGCTCTCAAATTGCTTCTGACTTTAGTGGTTCTAATAGGGCTTTCAAGGGATGTGAGATATCTAAGGAATGGCTTTATGAGTGCTACTCTTCCCACCCAGAATGTTCCCATGGCCAAGTGAGGGCTTGAACCCTGGTGTCCTCAAATACTAGTCTTTCACACTCTCAGCTGCATCACACCGGCTCTGAATCTTGGTGATGCACATGTGTAATTGGATAGTGCAGTTTTTCCTGCTGAAGCAAAAGCATTTGCCTCTGAACATCAGAAACGAATGGCATAATAGACAAAAGTAACATATGAAGGAAATCTGCTTTAATTAGATCTTGGGCAATAGAAGATGCATCCAACCACAGCTTAATGTTATGCTGTTAATATATTATCTGATGTTCCACATCATCAGAGTCCAAAGGTCTTCTTCTCCTCTCTTTTTTGTTATAGGTGACTTGGTTCTGGTTTGTTCCTCTTATGTTATCTTTATCTTATTCTTTTTGTAGCTAATAACCACCCAGGGTTTCAGGCTCATGTGGATAGTAAAGCAAATTACTCTGGGAGCCAGACTGCATAAATGTGTAGATCCCAAGTAAATTAAACATGTTTCTTAAACTAACCACATAGGTGAATTATTAGAGAGGAAAAGGCAACAAGAGGTACAAATAGATTCACACTAGGGGTAATGTCTGAATTGAATTTGGGTGTTGCCCACATTTGGGATCTTTATTTTCAACGGAACTTAGATGGGTTAGATGCAAAAATGAGTGGGTTTTAAAAATAGCTTTATTAGTTTTCTGCAAATGTTGCCACCCCACAGTAGCTTAAATAGCAAGTGGTAGACGGGCCATATAAATGTGAAGACGTCAGAGGGTTATTTGTGTATTTTCAAAGGCTCACATCCTGCACCTCATTCAAATGATCTTGAAAGATTGTATAGTTACAGAGCCATTGAATTTCTCTTCCGGCAGTGCCGTGGCCAGTAAAGAGGCCAAAGCTGTGATGCCTCTGGCCAGATCTCTGAAATTCCTACAGCTGTTATGGTTCCTGTAACTAGTTCTAGGAAGATGACCTGTCGTCCCCAATAGGAGTGTGCTGGACGTAGGTCACGGTGCTGTTGCATGAGTTGCGCCTGTGCCGAGGGGATATTCTCACTGATTAAAGACCATGGCTTACCTGATCCACAAATAATCTGTTTCCTTGTGTGGAAAGCATGGGAGCCATAGGGTGGAATGAGGGAGTCTTCGGTTACCAAAAACCTACCCTTGCCAGGGGTGGCGTTACCTCTCCCGATCTTGCATAAAAGAATTTTGGCCAGTTGTGTGCTACAGCATGTCTTCAGCATATCGGCACAGTCAGATGAGCATGATGGGTGGTGATGGGTGTCCTCTTACCTTCCTCCTCACAGTGTGCTGGGTCACTTTGAGAAGCCCTTGTTCTTGGAGCTCTGCAAACACATGACCTTCCAACAGTACCAGCAAGGCGAGTATGTCTTTCGCCCAGGTCAGCCTGACACCAGCATCTATGTGGTCCAGGATGGAAAACTGGAGCTCTTTCTGTCTGAACAGGTGAGAGATGGGGAGAGCTCAACGAGAGGTTGTATTATGCCCTGCCATGGGATCCGCTAAGCAAGGGGTGCAGATAGCCTGGTTCTTCTCCTAGCAGAGCTGCTGAAATGAACAGAGGTGGACAAGACCCCTGCCAAATTTGTGTCCAGCTCCCCAATCATTTCTGTGATTTGCATTGGAGATCTCAGTGGAGCTCCTTGAAGGGGATTTTTTTTAAGGGTGGGGAGACACTCCAGCTGATTTCTGTCCATGGCTGGCCACTCACAAGTTTCCATGTGTGTGATTCAGGATGGAAAAGAGACCCTTGTGAAGGAAGTGTTCCCAGGTGACAGCGTGCACAGCCTCCTCAGCATCCTGGACGTCATCACGGTAAGGCCCTCCTTCCAACCCAGGCTTGAGGTCATTTGAGGCTTTCAGCAGTACTCTTGGGGTGGGGGTGGGGATCTCTCCGCCTTGGTTTTGTTTTGCTTTCTTCCTGTCTTTCAGTCTTCGGTTAGTTTCATCACATGCCTTCAACAGTTTGTATTTTTTTCACTCTGCAAAAATATGTGCCTCTTTTTTCCCTGTGCTTTTCTTCTAGTAAACTTACATACTGTATGTGTGTGCGTGCGCACACACACACACACACACACACACATTTTTGCAGTTGGTTTTTCCTAATACATTTTTATATCCTCTCCCCAATATACACATTTTGTACATGTTTTTGTATGCATATCACAAAATACAGAGAAGTCTGAACATAGAAAATGTAGCTTGATTTCTCATTCTGGTTTGGAAAAGTGTAAAACAGATAAGTTTGCAGTGAAATGCAGATTGGACAAATTTAGGTTCACAACCCTCCTTTCCTCCAATTCCCTCCGTTTCAGGTATTTCTGTTTGCCTGTCAGATTCAGTGAGATTCAATCAACCTGTCCTATTTCCTGTTTTGTGATTACCTTCTCAGCTTTTTCCCATTGATCCCAACCAAAACACCACTTAGTGTCAAATAACACAATATGCTCAGTTCATAGTTTGAGCTGATAACATGTTCTCCCACGGCAAGATTCCTCACAGTTTTGTGTGTGAGCATTCAGACTTGCAAGCGAAGTCTGTGTTTACTTTCTCCGTGTTTTGGTTGACAAATTACTCAAGAAGTCAAGCTAATTTATTTGCAGAATGCAACAGTAGGACCGGCTTCTACTAAGGCAAGCAGATGTCTTTAATCACTTGAGAAAGTTCCCTTTCTAAATGTGGAGCACAGTGTCATACGTAGTTTGTCCTCATTTCTACTGCACAAATTGTGCGGTAGAGAGAACTACATCCCTTTAAGGGTTTAGCTTCTGACCTGAGTGAAGCTTTTGCTTCTCTAGAATGGTCCGTGTGGTATGGTATGAATTAATTGTAGGGTTCTAAGACTGGGCACCTTGTGTAGTAGGTAAGTGCATCCTTCCTCGTTACTGATACTGTCTGTAGGAATTAATGGTTTTTGTAGACCATTCAGATCTCTTGGATGTCTTCCCAACAGGGTCACCAAAGGCCATACCGGACAGTGTCTGCACGTGTGGCTGAGGACTCCACGGTGCTACGTCTGCCGGTCGAGGCCTTCTCCGCTGTCTTTGAGAAGTACCCTGAGAGCCTTGTCCGAGTCGTGCAGGTGAGCATCTCTGCCGGTCCTCTGCTGCACTTGTGCGTTTCCTCCCACATCCCCTGCCCTCTTGTCTGCATGTGAGTTGACTGGCCCCATGCATGCAATTCCTCAACATGCCCAGGGCTCCTGAGTATGTGCCACATTTGCACCACGGATCTTGCCAGGACTTTGAGCAGGACTTCCAATAGTGGGATGGTAGTCGTGGCTCCGTGGAGGTCCTTAGCTCTTCACTTGACTGGCAGGAATGAAAAACAATGTAGCAATACAAGCTTGCTTGTATTAACGTATTTGATAAGAAAACATTTTCTCTGCAATATTTTCAAGTGTATTTGCATTTCAGAAAGCATGCAAGAGAAGTAAACCATGAAAGCTGTAACTGCTGGAGCATTTTAACCCTATATATTTTCAGACATGCAAATACCTTTTAAATGTGCTTGATCTGGGAGAGAAATATGGGTTTCAGTCTTTTTTTCTAATGTAAGGTATTACATGTGGATGTAATACGATGTGGTAGAGAAGTGGTCTCCACTGGAACTAGTTCACACATCCAGTGAGGGCTGTGTGTATCTTTTGCCAGAGTACCCCAAGAGTTCTATTATCTGATGACAGTGGCCCCTCAACTAGAAGCAGAGCTAACCTGTTGCAGGATAGATTATAAGTAAATCTGAGACAAGCATGGGCCAAAAGCTTGTTCTGTAGGAAGTGAAAGACAGAGAGCTTTCTGTTCCCAGCATTTAGCATTTTGTGGGCACCAGCAATATGCAAACAAGCTTTTACACATCTTGGGCCATATGCTGCTTCCAGACAGAACTTACATACCTGACACATCCCTGCTGCTACACAGACTTCAATCTGTTGATTCTGCTTCCAATTTCAGATCATCATGGTACGCCTGCAGAGAGTCACCTTCTTGGCCTTGCACAACTATCTCGGCCTGACAAATGAGCTTTTCAGCCATGTGAGTTTTTGTCCGTATCATCCTACTCAAATCCACGAAGGATAACCCTTTCCCCAACCCCTCTGGAACTGTTTTCAGTGCTAGAGTTCAGCTCTGTAATGTTGGAAGTAACAATCAATAGTCCCTGAACATGTGTAAAGTGGACTTCTCTCACCTGTGATTAAGATTTAATATTTTTGGATAAAGAAGGTGGGAATGCCAAGCACTTCCCAAGTTCCCATCTGCCTGTCTGACCGACAGTCTTTATCATTTCCCAGGACATGCAGCCACTGCGTCTTTTCCCCCAGTCAAGCCACACTTCCCGTACCAGCCCTGTCCGGCATAGCAAGCGGGTCATTAGTGCCTCCTCTGTTGAAGATACCAAGGAGAGTGCTGGAAAGCAGCTAGATGTTTCCCCCAGGGACCAAGGTAAGAAGAGAGTCTGGCCAGGACCCTAGCTGACTTATAAATGGAAATCATTGGATGAGATGACTTCTTTGCTATTGGGGCGTCTTGAGCTCCAGAAGACACAAACGTGTTCTGTCCCGCCTCTGATAATCTATCTTGAGAGTCAGAATGTCTACCCCCGTATCTCCTCACCCCTATCAAGACACCCATGAACACGAATAGGGATTCTGAGTTGCTGGAACATGGGCAGCAGAGGGCGCAGAAGTGGCTGTGGAGGCCTCTCTGAACGAGAGAATTCCTGCCACTTCCCAGAGGAAGAGAAGGCATGGTGGGGGTGAAAGGTGACGACGACAGTAAAAGTTCCGGAAGCCAAACCATATAAAGAACAGCTGAAGAAACTGTGCATTTTAGGTTGGAGAAGAGAAGACAGAGGCAAAATGTTAACCGTAAAGTCATGCTTCGTAGTACAGAAAAGGAGATTAAACGTTAGGAAGAACTTCTTGACAGGGGTAGCTGTTGAACAGTGCAGTGGATCACCCGGGAAGGTGATGAAGCAGAGATTGGATGGTCTTGTCAGGGATGCCTTAGCGTGGTTTTACTCTTTCAGCAGAGGGTTGGACTTAATGGTACTTGGGATCCCTTCCAGCTCCAGAAGTCTGTGACTGTGTACACCTCATTGCCTGCCCTGGGAGGTACAACTTTTCCTCTCTGGGCTCTGTGTCTGCTAAGCCCGTGCCACAGCCAGCCCTGTGGATTAATGCCCACTCTCAGCTAGCCCACAGTCCTTCCATGTTGCTTGTAAGGGAGGCTCACAACTTGTCTTAGCCGTGGATCCAGCTGTTCCTTCCTTTGGAAGTAAAGAAAGGCTGAAGCAGCAGACTTAATTATGACTGTTGGAACAAGCCTGTACAGATGTAGGAACTAGCCGTATCTGGGATGTGGCAAGGGCACATTTGATTTTTTTCCAAGCCATGGAAGGTGAAAACCTTCTCTTTAGGTACTTTAGTACTTTGGGCAGTGAGCACATTTAAGCCATCTGATCCACATATATAAAAAGGAGTCCATGCCCCAAGATGACATCATGAGGTATGGACTCCTTTTTATATACAGTATGTAGATCATATGACCATGTATTTCTGTGTCTATTGGGTGAATCTTATCATTCTTCCAGGTGACCCCTTGAAGCCAGGTTTACTGGAGCCCCCAGCTGCCCTGCCATTGAGTCGTTGCATCTCCATGCCAGTTGACATCTCAGGTGTGTTTTTCTTGGCTCCTTCTTCTTTCCCATGATGATTCATGACTGTGGGTTGCCAGCCTTCATGGTTATGGTGACCATCAGGTTTTTACCTCACCTAGGGATCCAGAAGGGGCCCCGCTCAGATTTTGACATGGCCTATGAGCGAGGCCGCATCTCGGTGTCTCTTCAGGAAGAGGGCTCTGTCTTTTCCAGGGTAAGTCTCTGAATCAGATACCGTACAGTTGCCCATGGGATTATTCTTTTGGCCTGGGCACAGAGGGGATACAGCATCCCTAGAAGAGACATTTTGACCTGAAATTTGTTTGGAGGTCAGATGTGATTAAGAGGGGTAAAATTTGGGTTGCCCTAGAGGTTAACAAAGACGCTTGGGCTTGGTAGGAATCATACATGTGAGGTCTTCCTTTTGAACGTCTTCCATATGGACAAACCTTTTGGCCTTAAGAGCAGGGCATGAATATTCCAACCGTGATGCAAGGAATAGTGGTTGAAGCCACACACCCCAGATGACGTTTGAAACCTGACTCTGAGACCATCTCTCACAAATGTCTACCATCAGTTTTTGGACAGTTGTCTACAATCTTTCTGCACTATCTGTGAAATGGTGTTGCTTAGCCTGAAGAAGTGGGACTCCTCCACAAAATCTTGCAGTGTCTTTGATTTTTAGTGGTCCAATAAAAGGTATCATTCACCTTTACACTTCCATAAATTTAGTCTCCCGTCCTGTCCTTGACAGTCAATCTCCCATGAGTCCCGTGATCGGAAGTCAGTGACCGTGGAAGAGCAACCCTCTGGGATCTATCACTACAACTACTGCGAGGATGAGTCGGTGACTGGCGACTGTCCCTTTGGGCCCTATCAAGGCCGCCAAACCAGCGCCATCTTTGAGGCTGCCAAGAGAGAGCTGGTTAAGCTTATGAAAATTGAGGTAGGGGGGAATCTTGGTGTTCTTGAAGGAATCCCTCTTTCCTTTTCCTCAGAATAAAATGTGAAATGGATTGCTGCCCAGGCAGGAGGATTATTTTAATGTTCAGTCGCTAGAAAAGGAGCGAGACCTCTGTGGAAGTTTTGCAGGGCAGGGGAAGGAACAACCATACGTGGTTTCCCCTTCTAGTTAGTAAGAATCACTCCAAAGGCTGCTGGTGGTCAGTGCTGGGGCTTTTACTTGTTTGTCTGTGATAATTCTAGACTTCTTTTTGTGACAAAGCCCCCTGTCTCTTGAAAGCTCCCCGGAAACCTTCCTCCTTGCTCTTTCTGAATGACCGCTCTGCCTTGATTTCCAAGAGGAGTAGGTGCCCATGTGGCTCTTGGCTTGCAGAGAACCAGCCTGGGTTTAGAACTAGTCGCTGGCCTGGTGCCTGAGTCCTTCCTTTTCCATCTGTAGAGGGGCCTTGACTGTCATTCTAGCCATCTCACCTGGGTCACGATGGCTTCGTAACCTAGATGTGGTGCCCATTGCCATCTTTTCCTCGCAGGATCCATCCCTCCTCAACAACCGAGTCTTGTTGCACCATGCCAAAGCTGGGACAGTGATTGCCCGCCAAGGAGACCAGGTAAGGGGTACGAATGACCCTCCCGTCAGTAAAGTACTGACCCAGCAGGAAAGGAATGTGGCAGCTGTCGACAGCCCCCTGCTTCTAGTGTTTGAATAGTAATAAATGTACAGCATGAGGAAAAAGCACATGTAAACAGTGCAGATCATGAAGGAAGTGGATCTGTTCTTTCTTTCTTTCCATTGTACCTTCCTTCAATCATGCTTTCCTTCTTGCTTTCTTGCTTTTGAATAGTAATAAATGTACAGCATGAGGAAAGAGCACATGTAAACAGTGCAGGTCATGAAGGAAGTGGATCTGTTCTTTCTTGCTTGCTTGCTTGCTTGCTTTCTTACTTTCTTTCTTCCCTTCTTGCTTTCTTTCTTTCGGTACAAAATGGCTGCCTCTGCTTGTAGATGGAAACTTGATGGGCCATGTTTTAGGAAGAAAAATGCTCTCCCAATCTTTCCCTCCCATATGCACTTCTGTCTCCAGGATTAATGTGTTCCAGTTCCTTCTGCCTCTTTTTATACAATTTTCTTCATAGAACCTGAATAATTTCCTGAATCTTACTGAACTTTTTAGCATCCAAGGACAAAACTAGAAGCGACGCTCTGAAATGACAGGCAGGCAGATTTAACTTGAACTTGAACTTGGTCTTCCTAGAGGACAGCATTGTCCAGGAAGAGGTGCAATAGAGGCAGCCAAGAGGAGACTGGAAGAGGAGAGGTTCTTCATATATCTTCTTAGACCTGATGGTAGACTAAGTCATATGCAGCAAGTAGAGATATTCTCTCTGTGTAGCAAGCAGGTTTTTTAAAAAGCCTCTGCTAGTTCCAGTGCATGATTTTAAGTATCTTAATTGCCTTTGGGAAGGGAGAAGGAAAGGCTAACTTTCCCTTTGCCATACACTGTAAGGTCTCCCCCTTGAAAGGTCAGTGTTGTGGAGGTGATAGGAGCACTCAGCTGAAAAATCTCCATATCCTCAGGGAAGGGGGACGTTTCCGGTTCTCTGTTAAATTAATTCATTAGTTGTCCTATGTCCACCTGTTCATCAAAATCAAACCACAATTAGCAGGACTACTGAGATGAAGTGACCACGTAATTATGGACCACAGACATGTTACATGTTTAGGGTTGCTAAGAAGGTGAGAGGGTTGAATCCAGAATATGGAAGGCAATCAGGAAGTGTAACATCTCATAAACCTGATGAAGCTACTAGATTAGCCATGCTAGGTACAATATGAAAAGTCCAGTCTTCCACCTTTCTTTGGTCAGCAAACCTGAATGTCTTCTTCTTTTCGGGAGGGGGGGCTGTGCTCTGGTTTTTAACGCAGGTCTAGCCAGTCTTCCACCTTTCTTTGGTCAGCAAAACTGAGTGTCCCCTTCTTTTGGGGGGGCTGTGCTCTGGTTTTCACGCAGGTCTTGACCACAAGCACCTGCAGCTGGAGAACTGGTGCACTGCACACCTGGTTCCTTATTGTACTCATTATGGTCCCCATTGTTTTTTCTTTTTCTTTTTTAAATCAGAAAAGCCAAATATGGCCGGCAAACTTAATGCTCACTCAGAGTTAGTGTTTACCTCATGTATTCGGTTGCATGAATTCTTGTCCAGTATATTGGAGACTCCACAGCAATTTATATTTTTCTGTTTCATTCAGAACTTGGAAAAATTACCTTTTTACTGCAGCTTCCACAGCCCATGGCTAGCATAATCTTAGTTTTAAAAAAATAGTTTTCAATACCCTGTTTTTGCTGCCACAAGTGTTGCTGCTGGAGTATAAATCACAGCTTCTTTTGAAGTATCTGATTATTTTAATCTAACGTTAGGGAAGGCTGAGAATTATCTATCAAGAAAGAATGTTAAAATTGGGATAGGGAGTGGAATGCATATTGACCCAGAAAGCATTTCTAACTCCCTTTCAAATGCCAGCTATTAAGTTTCTTACACCTTCAGTGAAATTGGCAATGTTTTCAGAATTTGAAATAGAAAGCTTCCTTAAATATGAATACCATAGTAACGGCGTGTATTTCCAGGGTTCAGTTGAAGTTTTCAAGACTCTTATAGGAAGAGACAATGCTCGTGCATGCAGACTTTCTGCTTATATCTCTTTTCTCTGACCCAGCCAGCCAGCCCTGAGCCTGTTCCTCACATACGCTGATCTCTTTTGGTAGGATGTCAGTCTGCACTTTGTGCTCTGGGGCTGCCTGCATGTTTACCAGAGGATGATTGACAAGGCTGAAGATGTGTGCCTCTTCTTGACACAGCCTGGTGAGATGGTGGGCCAGCTAGCTGTACTCACAGGGGAGCCACTCATCTTTACCATCAAGGCCAACCGTGACTGTACTTTCCTCAAGATTTCCAAATCCGACTTCTATGAGTGAGTGACACTTCGGTGTGCATACATGTTCACACATGCTTGTCGTACGATACCTAGTTTCTCGTCCTACGTGCTATCTAGATACTTTGTCTGTCAGGATGATCCGTCCTTTCCCCTCTGCCTTGTAATCTGAGAAACTTCAGGTTTCTTGGGCAGAATGAAGAGGGGAAAGTCATGGCTTCATTTCTGTTAATCAACTAAAACTAGAGAGAAAGGGCTTCCATGACCATGGCATACATCCCCAATGTAATAAGGGTGTCCTGTGTTCTGAGTGGCTGTTTTTGCAGTAGCAAAACAGCCACTCAGAAATCAAAACTTTCACATGTTAACCCTGCTGGTTCATCTCTTTGAAAACAAGGATTGGACTAGAGTGGCTAGAACTGGTGCGTCTTCATGGGCACCTCTGGATGTAATGCATACGTGCATGGATAGCTTCCGACATATATTGGCTCTGCTGGAATCTCTGTGGGATCCCGCAGTTTACTAAAACAACAACAACAACAAAAATAACACAACAGCAACTGTATTGTTAGCTCTGATTCAGAATGCCTTTCCTGAGTATCAGTCGGAGATATTTCCTGACTGTGTCACTGGACATGCAGAGGTAGACCTACATGGTGCCAAGGATGGGCTTTGTCGTCAGCCTATGATTTCTCCCTCCTTCAGGATAATGCGGGAACAGCCAAGCGTGGTCCTGAACGTAGCTCATACTGTAGCCGCTCGAATGTCTCCATTTGTGAGACAGATGGATTTTGCTATTGACTGGATGGCAGTGGAGGCTGGGCGGGCTCTTTACAGGTAAGGAGGAGGTACTGTTTCCCCATTGGCCCTTTCTGTTTTATGCCTCCAGGTTCCCCCCCCCCCAATTCCTTTGCAAAAGCACTTCTTCTCCAACCACATTCTGGCTTGGAGAAAGGGAGAGTTCATGGTCTGAGCTCATCCTCCAGACAGAGGAATTGTGGGCCCTTCCTGTTGTTTCAGCCTACTCACTTCAGTCACAACGTGGAGGATGAGTGGAGAGAAGAAAGCTTAGCACTTGGACTCTTAAGGCAAAGAGGGGCACTCTTCTAATAGAGCTAATATCTGAAGCATGAGCACAGATGAGAGCATGTTGTGGCACTTGCAGTGAAAAGCCATGTTGATGATGATCTTACAGAGCCCCTGCTGGAGGATTACCTTTCCTCTTCTTTTCCTTTACTCCCAGGCAGGGTGACAAATCTGACTGCACCTACATTGTGCTAAATGGGCGGCTACGTTCTGTGATCCAGAAGAGCAATGGCAAGAAGGAGCTAGTTGGAGAGTATGGGCGTGGTGACCTCATTGGAGTGGTGAGTCCTAGTAAGAGGGACAAAACCAGAACTGGCTCTCAGAGAGGGACGCTGGCCAACGAACCTGCATCACTCACCTGGATAACTGTGATGCGGCATAAATGCCACCTGCTGTTGTCCCCAGGTGTTCACACTTTCCTCATCGTTCACAAGCCATAAGTTCAAACACTTACTGCCATGGTGTGATTGGTAGTAAGAAGAACATGTAAGGCTAAAGTTCAGAGCAACAGGCAATTAAGTGGCAAAAAGCTCTGAGAGACAGGTTAGCTCCCCCTCTTAAGAGGGTCATAAATTCAAACACTTACTGCCATGGTGTGATTGGTAGTAAGAAGAATATGTAAGGCTAAAGTTCAGAGCAACAGGCAATTAAGGGGCAAAAAGCTCTGAGTGACAGGTTAGCTCCTCCCCTTAAGAGGGTTATAGATGCTGGCGTGGAGAGAATCCTTGTGCCCGCAAGAGCTGGCTGCTGACAAGAGAGTCTTAATTTTCCCTGAGCTGCCCTGTTTTCCTACCTGGTCTGAAGTGTGGCAAAACATTCGGAGTAGCTGGAAATATCAGACTTAGAGGTAGATCCTCTTGAGACGCTAAAGTTATGCTGATGCCCATTGTGGTGTTCTTCTGGGGATTTGGGGTGTAATTCCTGGACACTATAAGTTGGAGCCAAAGATTCACTGTAGGAGATGAATCCTCCCCCCCTCCCCGACCTCCCCTCTCTTCTCTGGGCTTAAGAGGCAGCGGTACCCTAGTTTAAGATGGACTCACGAGCTGCAGTATCACCTGCTAGCTCTGGCCCAGGCTTGAGAAAACTCACTAGCTGAGCACCTCTGCTTTTCCCTAGCCATGGTCTCTCCTAGATACCTTTGCTTTCCCCTGAAATAATATTGCCCAATGATTGCCCTAATATCATAGGGCATGCTAGGAGTCGTGAGGCGGAAGCTACTTGACATGAGCCGTCTGTGATCTGTAATGTGGTTTTGCCTTCAGGTAGAAGCCCTGACCCACCAAGTCCGAGCCACCACCGTTCATGCTGTGAGGGATACAGAGTTGGCTAAGCTCCCAGAAGGGACGCTCAGTAATATCAAACGACGTTATCCTCAGGTGGGTCGTCGGGAATTCAACATCTAGACTTAAGTTCTCTAGTGGGACCTGAATTTGCATCCTTGCGCTGTGTAGCCAGGTTGGGGATTTCTTTCACCACAGTTGAAGTCTTCATGTATTCATATATGTATGTATACATATCATAGGTATCCTTCAGTCTCGAAAGACTATGGTAACATGCTCTGCATCGAGGAGTGTCCTCTCCAGAGCATGAAGCCCGGGTAAAAGTAATATGGAGGATAGGCTGTTACCCAAGCAGCAGATCCCCCCTCTCCACATTGCTGAAATGATCCAATGGAAAGGCAGGAACCAATACAACTGGTTCCAGCAATGTTGCAGGAGTTGGCAGAATGACACGAACTGCCTTCGGGACTCCGGCTCCGGATTTTGCCTCTAGGTTAGTTCCTGAAGCCTTTTCCATGAGTGGATATAGCCACAAGGCAGTGGAAGTTTGAAATCGGAGCTTTCCTTCTCCTAGATGGGCTGCCTTCCATGGTATACACATGAACACCCAATAAAAAGATAAAAACAAACAAGAGACCAAAAATGAATCCTTAAGATGAGGGCTGCTTGTTCCTTTAAAACTTTGAACCTTAAGGGAAACGTGAGGGTGCGTCCTTCTCTGATGGCGCATGCTCTCATCATCCCTTTAGCAGGCCCAGAAAGAGGGGCCCATAGTCTGCTTCAGCTGCCCTTTGGGGTGCCTTGCTGTGTGCCAACAAGCGATGTTAGGCGACAGTTTCAGGGTTCTGCCTTTGTTTCCTCTTGACTCTCCAACCTGCTTCCGTCTTACAACAGGTGGTCACTCGCCTTATCCACCTGCTGAGTCAGAAGATCCTGGGCAACCTGCAGCAGTTGCGTGGCCCCTTTCCAGGTAGGATTGCCTGCACTTCCCCTGCCTTCTCACACAGGGCACCAGAGAGAGCGTCCGTGCTTTTCCACATTGTGGCATTAAAGAGAAATGGGGTTTGAGCAGTGTGCCGAGTCTTGCTGCTAAGCATACAACGCCCAGGGCAAGGCTGAGCACTTCAGTGGCAACGTGTCTCTTGCGTAGGTTCCGGTCTTGGCATGGCCTCCAGCTCAGAGCTGACCAACCCAGCTAGTAACCTCTCGACGGTGGCGGTCCTTCCAGTGTGTACTGAAGTGCCAATGGCAGCTTTCACCCTGGAACTGAAGCATGCTCGAAACGCCATTGGTGAGCTCCGCTATCGACTCTCTCTCTTTTTTCTCTTGTTTTGCACCGGCCTTTGCAGTCATGACCAGTGTTCTTCTGGTTTCACAGGCCCAACCCTGTTGCTCACCAGCGACATCATACGGGCTCGTCTTGGGGCATCAGCATTGGACAGGTAAGTGGGCATGTTGTATTTTCTGTGTCGTGAGCATGTCCATGACCGCAGAGTTTGTATTATTTATTCTATTTAAAAAAATCTTTATATATTG